AAAAAACACTTGAACGAAAACTTTAGTAACTAAGTTGCGTTTAACAACTTATTTGTTTACTAGAAAACTTTCTTTAGACACTGAAGTGTATTTGATCATCATCTCCCACGATCCAAAGCTTGAAAAAAGCCTTAAAATGAATTTGAAGAAACAATAAATGACAAAACTTTAATTTTTAGTACTTAGTGCTTCAGTAATGCACTTGTATAGAAAGAGGGCAAATCTTTCGATAAGAACGCACCCAACCGAATATAAACACTCTAGAAGGTTCGTAGTTCGTCAAAATTCCAGGAAAATTCAATCTATTTTTGGCGCCGAAACTTCGCTGACATGCTAATGTTAACTTGTTATTTGCATTTCCAGATAAATCCACAGCATTATATTTTCCCGCCCTTCCCACGGTTTATGCATTGTCATGAAGCGCCCGCATTTGTTGTGGTGATTGTCGCGGGGGTATAATAACCATAAATTGACTTATCGCCGATTATTCAATTTCCGCTTAGTAAGGATTAGTGGATGCATGACGATATACTTCGACAACTCCTTAATGTTTTGCGTCATAGCACGGTTGGTTAATCCAATGAAGCGTGGGAACTGTTCTTTGTTATCAAAGCAGTATTAGTTGTTATTGCTGTTGTCGTTAGGGTTTTGTACATTATGCTGGCATTTTTTAGAGCATTTTAGTCAGGCTAAAGCATTAAGCATAGCCTGCGAATGCAGACGTATTTCCGGCTGTCACTTGGTTCCGCCGAAAATAACGACGTTATTTTCGGCGGAACCAAGTGACTGCCGGAAATACGTCTAATACCCTAATACAGCTGAGTGGAGACTGAGGAGAGGTCAGCGGTAGTCAAATCACACTAAAGGCGGCCATGTTTGTCAAATCACCTTTGTGATAAAAAAAAACCCATGTATGAGCATTAACCGAGCATTTTATTTCCTTTTTGGGGGGACGGTACCACGCCTTTTAGTGGGAAAATGGAGCATGGAAGTGGACCAATTTAGTGGGGAAACAAAAGCATAATATACAAAAGCCTAGTTGTCGTGCGAAAAGCGGAAGAGCAGCAGCCCTCGAAAGTTTGTAATTATTTTGCTTGTCGTCATGGTGCAGCATCTGTTTTTGTTTTAGGGTTAGAGGCATTGCTTCTGTTATTTGTTCTGTTGTCCCCTCAAAGAGTATCAAGACATTCACGTGAGACCTTACGAGAGCTGCTCTCTGACCCGCAAGAGGTGGATCAGGGAGGCGTGGTTACCTAATTTAGTGCGTTTGGATTCAAGGCTAACGTCCTTGCGTTTTGTCCTCGAGCAATACAATTCATTCTCCTAGAGCAGTGTCGAAAGAAATTCAACAACAAATGTCGAAAACAACACATCGCATTTGCTTTGGTTTTACATCATTACCTTGCGTGATTGGCTTAAAAAAACTCGCGCCGCTTTGTCATCCAGTCAGAAGTTAAAGCAAAACCAAGCGTGGCTCGCTCGCACACGTTTTCCCGCGCTTAATGTATTTGCTCTAAGTTTTGGTTGTTCACTAGAATGTCTGTGTCCTTTGTGATTGGCTAGAGTGATTCCTCTGGGTTTGGTTTGTAAACTGCTCTAAAGCCTTGCTTCAACTACACAGAGGTCAATATATGAGGCTTAACTGACCAAATATTGGGGAGGGGGAGGACCTGCGGAGGACTAGCATCTTATCTATGGCAGGGGAATTAACAATACTCCAACCGCGTCATGTTACAGAAATAAGCTAGGTAAAATAAAATGAATAAAATTTTTCTCTTCTTTTTTCGATGAGATTAATCAAAAGTCATGCCCTATCGTAGACCAGCCTCCTGATTACTGCCAAACAAACTGTCGCGATGTATAAGCTAAGTATGTTGAACCCGGAGAAGCTTTAAACTAGGCAATTGAATGAAATAATCTGAGGGCGAACGCCTTTATATTTCGCTGGCTCTCCACCATTTGACAGCCTCAAATAGTCTAGATGTAATCTGGAAATAATTTGACGAGTTCTTTTTTAATCTCAGGAAGAGTCCATGACAAGATGCAGAAAAGAGAAAATTCAATTTCCAGAAGCCGACCATGACTCAAAAACTTCTACTCTAATGAGGATGTCACAAGCTATCAAATGATAGTACACTTGAACACAAGACTGGATACAAGCTTGATTTCCTCAAGCTTCAGGTAAAGATTGTTAGAACACAATTACAGCAGAGTAAACATACTATTGCAATCGCATAGCCTAGAAGCGCGAGGAGAAGAGAAAGAGAGCTAGAGAGAGGACAAGGCGCGCGGTGCATGACGGGAATACTCTCTACTTCCCGTCGCTTCCCATGTTCTCCTCGGGAGCTAGCCTATCAGTGAAGAGCAGGGTGGTCAAGGGTCAGGAAATAGTCAGGGAATAAAATTCTTCCAGGTCAGGGATAATTATAAGTCAGAGAACTTTATTCTGTGTCAGGGAAAATTGAAATTTGGAAGAAAAACCCAAGAAAATTGAAATTATAACACCGCTGATTTAAACCCATTGAAGGCTGGAAGAACTAAGATGAATGGATGGAAAGGACGGCTGTAAAGGGAGGCTGGAGGCTGCTGTATACTATATCTGGCATTTCGTATTAATTTGGTCAAGGAAATGTTTTTTTTTAAAAGGAAAAATCAGGGAATAGTCAGGGAATTTTGAAATGTTATGTCTCTGCATGGCAACCATGAACAGAGAGCAGACTATTCAGAAATCCGCTTGCAGAGTAATAAATAAATGTAGCGTGCCTGAATATCTTATAAGCATTCAAACGGAAAACGAAACATTATTGATTGTGCTCCGTGCAACAGTAGGTTAGTGTTCTTTTTTTTCTGTTTTCCCTAAAGCAAAGTATACGAATAATTAAGAAATGGAATTTTCCGTGTACTTTATCAAGTTTTATAGAATTAAGAGAACGAGAACTGCCGTGGTAACGCGAACCGAAGGCGAATGTCTCCACAGTTTTTTCGAGGTCTCCAAAACACCAAAACAATAACTATAAGGGCTGGACCATTTGACTTTGAGAGGTGTGTTGGTGATTTGGTACAGGCACGAATTTTTTTCTAACCCTTTCATGCGCTAGGAATTTTTTTCTCTGGACGTGTTTATTCATGATATTTTTTTCTCGAGGTAGCAGCCTGTGTTTTTACCGGCTCACTGAACGTACTTAAATTTTTTTTTTCCAGCAAATTTCGAGTTTGTTGCTTACAGGTTAGTGCTTTTAAAATTCAACCACTCACCAACTTAAAAGTTAAATGGTCCACCCCTACTCGATAGAAACATGGAGAAGTGTTTTCAGTTTCCTTTAAAACAAAAATTATCAAAATGCAAATTTCCTTTGCTCGCGCTTTCATTATATCAACAGCTTATTTTAGTCTTGTTTCTGTCGAGTTACAGAAGAGGGCGGCTTTTAGCAAGGCGGTTTTTTTGTTTAGGTTTTGCTATTTTCAAAAAAAAGATTAACGTTTCCTTAACTAAGTGTTATTCTTCCTAGCCGAAGCCTCATCCAATAAGCAATTTAGTATGACTGTTCTTGTGAAAAAAAGTCGAAATATGATATACTTCGTTTCATAAAACGTTTTTAATTACAAGTACAAGAAACAAAAGAGGCTTGCTAATTACTGCGAGAGCTACTTAAAACCAAACGATCTATAAACCAATTATAATTACTATGAGAGATGTGAAAACAAAAACACGACTGGTTAAAAACAATAGAGTGCGAGTAATTCAAGGAAGGAAGCTGCCAGAGGATGGGTCGGGTTGGAAAGGGCGAAAGCGATACTGCTAAGTCTTAATTAAGTGAACAGCTGTGAAAAAGCATTGCCTACATTACTTTCTTGGAGATCTGTTTCCTAGGAGCAAATCCGCAGCGATAATTATTTCAAAATATTTGCTCGGGGACGACTTGAGCCATAAAAGAGTGAATTATCTGAATCTTTAACCACCCATGCTACATTTAATTCTTTCGCTCGTTACTGCGACTCTAACATGTGTTCAAAAGAGGCAATGACAAAAGCCGCACATTTCTAGCGGTTTTTTAATTTTTTTTTAATTTGTAAACAAAACATGCATGCTTGATTGACGTTACCATCACTGGGTAAAAGTGATAAATTATTTGTAAAGGTCTTTAACACCGTTGTCGGACAGGTTTTGTTTGTTTTTGTCGGATATAACGTTTCTTCCACAAGGTAAGAAAATTAGAATAGTATTGAGATACCACACAAGAATCTATTCACTGCGTACAATTCAAGGTTGATTATGAATTCCTTCTCCTCATAACCGCAGGTAACAACGGGTGGTAATTGAGAAGTCTTCTCGTAACAAAAGAACTCCCGCGACCGTGAAATAACGGGTTGGGGGAGCACAGAACCGCAGGTAGATTGCTCTCGTTCAATCGGATTTCGCTCCGCGCTGCTTTTTTTTTTATTACCGGTAAACATGACGGAAGGAGACCCCGCTCAGCAGCCAAAACTCTCCCAGCTCGCTTCAAGAGGCATTCTCGGTCTCAAAGAAGGACTAAAGAAGGTAGCCCTTCCACTGCAAAACGTCGGCCTATCCGGCGCTGTTTTGGGTTTGAAGGAAGTTGTAAAAAAGGTTGTGTTCAACTGCCCCGAACGACACTACCAACTGTATAGCTTGCTGTTCATGTTTGCCCCAGCAGTTTTCTTACTTTGCCTTGCCTTAATGGTATCAAGGAACTTCTGGAAGATGGTGGCTGGGTGCTGTCGTCTACGCCGGCCTCAACGAAGAGTCGTCTGGCAACAGTCGCGAAAATACGTGATTCTGTCCATCGTACCTCCAACCGCATGGATTTTGTTCGCCCTGTTTGACACAGAATATTACACCTGCGCCAAGCTCGGTTCCAAAAAGATTCGTCTAAACAACACAGTGCCTTTCCAGCAGCCAGCACTATTGGCTGAATACGAATCAGCTAAAATAGAATCGCGTATAATCGGAATTTTTCTACTGACGGGGATTGTGCTTGTTGGAACGGTCTTAATCTCTATCGAACGATGCTGTACCAGACCAGACACGGGCATCAGCAACGACGAGGAATATACCCACTATCTAGCCGAGGAACAAATTAAGTTGTTCAACTCGAAGATAGAGCCTTTGGCAAAAGAGCAAGCCAAGGTGGAAGTGGAGGCTTTGTTTGAGAAATTCAAAGATATGAAAGATATCGCTGAGAAAGTACGCCTGATTTCAGAAGAATTAGAGGACGAAATACCTTGGGCGGCAACCCACGAAGCTTAGACTGGGACTGTTTGGGAATAAATCAAATAACTTGGGCGATACAAAAACAATCCTTTTTCTACTTATTGCGGCCATCTTAACTCGCTATATCGCCTCTTAGTTCATTTTTATCCTATTTGATCCTAATCTCTTCCAGGCGTTCGTTTATTTGGGAGCATCGTGAAAAACGACAAAAAAAACAATAGGGGATGACTGGGAAGCGGGCACTCTCGCTTCTCCCCAATAACCCCTCAACTATTTTTTTTTCCTACTCTCGGCGTTTTTCTTGCTGCTCCTCAAACAACCGAAATCCTGGAACAGGCTTATCTGATCTTCCCTGAGTAACATTTTAATCCTATTTTACAGGATATGGAAATTACAGCATCTATTTTCATTTTACAGTATTTTTAACTCATTTTTAAACAAGATGAAACGAAGTATATCATATTTCGACTTTTTTTTTCACAAGAACAGTCATACTAAATTGCTTACAAAAATTGAATAGAGGTACATCAAAATACGTATAATGTATTATTTTAAACTCATTTTATTCCAAGCGCCCACACAATATTTAAAATGGCAAAATATCTAAATTATCACATTTTTCCCAATTTATCCAGCAAATCAAAATTTACTAAAAGTGCAATTGTTCCATTATCTTGAAAATGATGTTGAAAGCGCGTGCGTATAGCAGTGAAACAAAAACTTATAAATTGTTGTGGCACAGTGTTTTGGTTTATTCAATTAAAATGGCAAAATATCTGAATTATCGCATTTTTCACTATTTTCATTCAGAAAATCAAAATTTTCTTACTTTGCAATTGTTCCACAATCTTAAAAATGCTGTTGGAAGCGCGTAAGTGAAAACAAAAACTTGTGAATTGTCGCCGCAAAGTGTTTTTGTTTAAGCTCGCAATTTCTAACGGTCCTATAATTTGCATTACAAATGTTACACTTAAGAACTTTACATTTGTTTCCCTTATTGCCAAGTAGAATAGAATCGTTCTTTTCAACAAACAAATGTCACATTTTGGCTTACAAAAATTTGTCCCCCGTCGATCAGATCGCGAAGGTCGAAAACGTACGCACGCAATGCGTGCTAGCGATATTTATCCTGGTGGTGAAATGAGTAATTAAGGGCTTTTTCTTAGAGTGGATTATTTTCTGCATAAAATACATGCAAGGGTAAATGGTTGTAGTAAAGCTAATGGGATTGTAAAGAAAGTTTAATAGGATTTTAAGGGAAATTAACTGCGTTATATTATAGTCTTGGCTTCTTACGAGGTAAATTTGTGTTTAAATAGGTTTGATTTTAGACAGACGTTAGCACACGGGCGTTGTGGTTGGTTGGTTGGTCTGAAAAACAGATCCCGAGACAGCTTGGCATGACAACATGGCATGACGTATACATCTTGAAATTTTATTTCAATAACCTGAAGTTGGTGTTAGTCATGCCGAAACATGTCTTTTTTAAAAAAAGCTGTCTCGTACCTTTCAAATGTTTCATTTCACTTTTGCTTACAAGAAGGTATGGTCTGAAATTGTATTTTAGTTTTTACGGCACTGTACTATATATTATGATGGTTTAAATACAACAAATAAATTCATGAACAGAAGAATCAACGAACGAACTAGCTACAGAACGATTGATTGAATACATAGGATTTCGCAGTAGCACTTCCACAGAGTGTCTTTTCGCAAAGAAATCCTGTCATTGTTATTTTGAATCGTTGGCCTTTGTGAAGGAAGGAAAACCGGAGAAACCACAGAAAAATCCTCGGAACAAGAACACGAACCAACAACTAATTCAATCCAAATACAAAGTACAACGCTTTCTTTAGTTATGTTGTCTGCATTAAATGTCTAAGCTGCTATGATTGTTTTAAAGCGCGTAAGAAACTCTTGACCAACCGACTTACGTGCCACTATCTTTGCAGCATCAACAGAGACAATACTTTGGTATAAACGAAAACGCAAAATACACTAAGTATAAATTATGGGTGACATAGTTAAACAAAAAAAAGCTTGACCGAAAGACTAAATTAGAATATTAAACACGAGGAATAGAAATCTCCATAATTGGAATGAGTATGAAAATGGTCCGTCACGTGACCGGACACAGATTTACAAAGTTCTGTAGATGAGTTTTTTTCTAATCATGTGTAAACATGATAAGTTATGATGACCTGACTGATCATCGCAGTTATACACACAACTTAAGCTGTTGTGAAATTAAAGCCTGAAAAAAAATTCATGTCTTCATATCTTTCTCCGCAGTTCAAATACATGATCTTTCATATATTCGCCTCGTATAAGAAGTAATTTCAAATCTTTCACAATGCGTCGAAACTGAAAATGTTTGCGATTATTTCGTTTGCCTCACGTATTAAAGTAAGATCCGCCTTTTATAAATTTGCTTTCACTCAAAGCTTCAATCGCCGACACTATATTTCTCTGTTCAACTTTCACGAGGCTTGTGTGTACTTCTTTCAACTCCTTCATCTCTCAACATGAACAACGTACTGCCAACCGTAATGATGCTACTGAGAAAATCTCGTCGACCTTTGGTATACGGATCTATAGCAGCTCTAACAGTAGGCGTGGAGGGGTTTTTCGAAAGCATTGTGTTCAACTGTCCGTGCGAAAGATACTTCACTTATGGCCTAGCGTTCTTGTGGGCGCCGGCTCTGTTTTTGTTTCTCGCCGGAATTCTGCTTGACACAAATTTATGGAGGCGCCGCTCAAGAAGAGATCAAGAGAAAAAGAAGAAAACATTTGCCCGTCGTTATTTCAAAGCGCTAATTCGAACACTTGATGTACTAGTGCGAGCAAGCATTGCGCCTGTTGCGTGGTTGGTTTTTTCTTTTCTACAACAACAGTACTACACATGCGCCTACTTCGGTCCTCCGCTTGGAAGTGAGGTCATCATGTGGAACAAAACTCATGAATGTCATTTCGAAGTCGGATCTCGCACCAGGTCGCTTGAGGAAAGCTTCAAAACCCGTAGTCAAATAGCAGGATGGTCTCTGATGCTGATAGCGATGTCGGTTCTCTTCACTTCAGTGTGCATTCGCAGATGTATTCAAAAAGGAAGGCATCTTCAAATCCCGAGCCTCGAATATTACCACCACGTTGAAGCCAAAGCAGCTTTGGAACATTTTCACGCCAAGGCGAAAGAGCTCGCGAAGAAAGAAGCAAAGAAAGAGATCCACTTTTTATTCGTCAAGGCAGAAAACAAAGATTTCAGTTCTTGTATTCAAGACGTGGGTAAAGGAATTGAAAACAAATACGGGTCGTTTTTTGAAATACCACTCGAAAGTCCTTCTTACAAGACCCCGGGGAGTGCGACCCCAGACCCTCTTCAGTTTCCAACTTCTCCAATTGTTTCAAGACCATTGCTTTCTGATGGAAGCGAATCTGCGAACAGCCTTGAAACACAGGAGTCGATCCGTGTCGACGACGCGCAGCAGTCAGTGCAGCTCTTCAAAGCGCCTGCAAACACCAGCGGTTTGGCGAGGGTCACACTACAGCGACAAGATGCTTACAATACGAACCAAAAGTGAAACATACAGATTATCATAACTACATAAAGTAGCTCAAAAAAACCAATTTTTTCTTATCCTTTGGGATAAAGCACTTTGGAGTTCAAATTGTTGAATACAGTATTTAGCAGCGAATTATGCAAAATTTACGATGTTGCTGGTCATTCATTGTTTCAGTTTCAGTGACCCAGAAGTAAATTCTAAGGAGCTACGTCGCGACTGGGGCATGCGCACTAGCGCGCTCAGGTTATTAAAAAATTGGCTTACATTTTTCCGTTTCTGTCGTGAAATCAATCGAAGGTTTATATCGTTCTCCATCTTTGCCATCCTTTCGCAGTTGGTACAAATAACGTTTGCTTTATTTAACTGAGAGTCTCAGCTTCGTTTCTTTGTATTTTTATCTTACATTTCGGCTGTTTACGGCACTTTGGAGCGTTTGATCAAATATTTATGTCGTGTAATGGCGGCCGTCGTCCTGGATGTGGACGATGTTTCCACAATGAGAGCAATCCCTTTGTTCCTTATTTCCTGCTACATTCTTTCGGTTTCCATGCATCGAATCAACATTTATGTCAAATATTTATCCTTATGCTTAGTCAAAAAGTCGTGATTGTACTTATTTCAATTTATTTCAGTTTTCTCAGTGTAATCTTCGTTCATCATTTTCCTTTCCTGTACATAATTATACTTCAGGAAGTATGCATATGGTGTTACCATTTTGAAAAATTGCACTTAAAGAATATAATGTCACGTAATCATATAACCACTAAGTCACTAAACGGAGTATGTTATACATGACTCCCCTCTGCTCCCCCAGAAAAAAATCTTCGCATCTTCGGGATTAATCGTAGTATCTACGGGAGTAATCGAATCGCGAAACATAGAGGAAAGACAAAACACGGAAACTTTTAAGTTTGTATGAAACCCTAGTGTGTGACATTTAAAGCTATTGTTTCAAGTGGTACTGTTCAGTATGTTGTAGAAGGTGGTTCTAACTTTTAAGTCTGTGGATTAACCCTGGAGTGCACCAGCTAAAACGAAAGCTGTAAGACAGCGTCTCTACTTACTATGCTGTACAGGGCGGGTGTACTTCTGTTCTTGTTAAGAATATCTATACAGATTAAAAACCAACATTTATTAATGCCAAATAAAAAAGGAAACATTTACATTGCCATTTTTGTACTCTCTCATTTGAGTAGCTCAAGTCATCAAGATCCTGCAAACTCCCCGAGAATTTGCTCCGCTCGGGTAGAATCCCACCCTTTTCCTTTGAAACTCTCCTTAACAATGTCCACAAACTTTTGAAGAAATCGCCTTCCATCCGATACAGAATTAAACTTCTTCGCACCACTTTCATCCACATCTCGTTTACCAAGATCCCCGCTTGTTTCCTTTTCAATCCGCCAGTGCCAGTAGCATAATTCACCAGCGTACATGAGAGCAAGCAGATGAGTGTCACTAAAGACACCTTGGATAAAACAAACATACGGTACAAAGTAAGAGAGCATGAAGAAAAGTGAGTTAGTCCCCCATATACACCTTAATCGTAAGGTAATCCCTCTCAAGTTATTATTACATCAATCTCGTTTTCTAAAATCTCAAGAGGGTCAAGAAACAGTCAACTTGTCCGTGACGCGGAGTTTGCTCACGTGGACAGCCCAAGCGGCTTAACAAGCATTTTCATCCTCCACGAAAACATCCAAATAACACACGTGGTAACATTATCCGCGGGAAAACTAGGTACCATGTCTAAAAATAACTTGAGAAAGATTACCTCAGAATTGAGGCTTATATGGGGATTAACTCTCTTACGCTTCATCCTCTCTTGGTATAATGTGCTACGTTCTTCACTAATAACAGAACGAGTCCTTCAAATACTGGCTAGCATCACAGACAGTCGTGAACAGAGACAAACAATGTAATATCCCCTTAACACAATGCAGAAGGGCTGAATCAAGGGCAGCACCTTTCTCTAAATCATGATGACTTGTTGATGGTTACTCTGATTATTCTTTTAAAAGTAACTTAACAGAATAACGTTTATGCCAAAGAATTTTGTCCCTCGGAATTCAATGAATTGGCAAGTTTTTCATTGATGGAATGAAGTTTCTTATCATGGCAAAACAAAATTTTTTCTGCCCTTGAACCAAGTTGCCAACATTCAGTGGTATGGCTAATTAATTTGTGGTGTCCAAAAGTAAAATTTGAAGTCTATGCAATAAATAAAATGTCAAAGAATCAATGAAAATCATCATTAACCTTGTCTCAAAAGATGCACCATATCAGCATCCTTCGTCTCGACATTTTCCTGTCCATCCAACACGACAGGCGTACGAACACATAACATTGACTCAAGATATTTGACTCCGGACTCAGCACACTGGATGGAGGAAACGAGAAATAATATGCAAATACATATCAGAAGAGAAAATGGGTCTTTTCATC